AACTACCAAGATAAACCATCAAACATTAATTACTGATTATTTGATTAGAAAAATTAAAAGGTGGCAAAATAAGAAACATTTTGAAGATTTCTAAATTCTGACAAACATTTGCCTCAGCTTACTACACACATGAAATGTTACAGCAGGTTACCTGTCTGCGGTCAGTGACTACTGTATATCTGAAAGCTTTTCAATCAGCCTTGGAACAGATGACATGATGTGATTTGACAGAAGCATGTGAAATTGATGCACAGCAAATCCCAAAATAAGGATTAGTGTTATACCGTATGATCTGAACATACCAAATCTAAATGTCTCTGAAAAATATGTTCTTGCACCATGTGAGTATGAACATGTGTACTTTATATGTTAGCTCATTTAACAATAATAATGTCCGGCATACCTTATTTTTCCTTACATTTAAATGATGAATATTCTGTTTGACCTGCCCTATGGTCAAATAAACAAATATTGGTTGGGTAAATAAGAAAGAGAAGTTTATTTATATAGTACTTGTCACAGACAGAAATCATAAAGTGCTTCACAGACAAAAATCAATCATAAAATAAAATGAACAACAGAATTTCAATAAAACAGATGTAATGTAAACCAAACAGTTAAACTAGTACAGTGTATTACAGAGGGTGTTTCAAGGCATTACTAAAGAAAGATAGCAGGGAATTTCTAGTAACAAGAAAAAGAGATTAACATTTTAACAGTCTGTACATAAAACTTGTCAGTCAACTTAATTTCCCAAAACCTGCTTGTCTTCCTTAAACTGCAGTGTGCTTCTTGTAAGAACCCTACTCACAAGGCCTCTCCTACATTTTAATGTCAGATTAACAAAAAGCAAAATATGCAGACATCTTGTTCTCATTTTACCTCTGAGTACTGGTCTGGTAGGTGCTCGGAAACTCCTGATGTTTTCTAAAACTAAACTGACAACACTGATGAAAAACTGACATTTTTAGGAAGTGTGTAATTAAAAAAACTCTAAACAAAATATTAATATTTTCTATTTTTTCTAAAGAAATATTAACCGCATTGTTGTTTGTTTGTTTAAAACAGGTTGTGAAATGGCTTAACGTTTAAGAAATGCATTTAAAAGTCACTGGTCCATTTTCATTTCAACATAAATTCAAAACAAGAGCAAGTATTTTCTCAAATCTGTTTCACAAAGACTTTAAAGATTACTATATCTCTGTACAAAGGTCAAAGGCATCCCCTGTGCTCTCGAAGGCTACAGCAGCCTAAAAGTGGATTAGGAGAAAAAAATGTATTGTTCATCACCTGATCATATCGATTCTCATGAAATAATTTCCTATAAAGAGCACTGAAAAAAATATTTGTTGATTCCAAAGGGTTATTTACTACATGTTCAGGTACCAATTAAAAACACACCAGACATAGAATTACATTTAAATTTGACTCTTTCATCTGGCCTGTGGCAAAGGATTTTGCTGCCCTCTATTGGGTTGAGAAGGAATTACGCAAAGCTAATTCACACATAATCTCTGGGATTTTTTGATGTTCCCCTAAATTCTGCACTGTTTGCATTGTGATTTTTGTTCTTCATCCAGGTTTTGGAAGTAATTAACAGTTTACTTTTAACAAACCTAAACAAAATGTAGGACAATAGTAAAAGTTGTAAGACAAGGGATTCAAAAATGCCATCCAGACCCATTTAATCATAGAACAGTGTACCTGTAAAACATGAAGAAGTGGGAAAACATGTTCTTGTAAGTAATGGGGGAAAGCTCAAGTAGGCCATACAATATCATTAAAATGTCAAGACAAAAAAAAAACAACTAAAAGAAATACTCAAAACTTTTCATGAACATTCCAAGAATCACACCAGGCATACATGCCATTATTTAGCTGCGTTATTTTAACAAAAATTATTTACACTTTCACATTTATAGTTAAAAATTATAAACATTTGTTTTGATATTAATTAACTTAAATGCATGTGATTATGCTGATTAAATTGCAATTCTGCCAGAACTATTTGTCTAAATAAACACGGATAAATGAAAATAAAGAAAATGAAAACTTCCTCTTCATGATGACTGCGGTATGGGTTGGCGCATGCGTGGTGGTGACAAAAGGGTCTGGTGTAGGGCAAGACAGTTTATCCTATAAAAGTATGACATATGTGTTATCGTTTCAGCCGTTCTGAATTTAGAAAGAATGTTTCAGGTAGCTTAAAAATAATTTCTGTCCGAGTTTTGATCAGCATTTCAGATAACCAAATCTTTACAAGTCTGCTCATTTTTTTAAATGTTTGCTTTCAGATGTTTACTTTTTTCACCTTAAAGGAAATTTTATTTTGTTTAAAAATAGAGTTATTACTAAGCTAAACTCAGATGTCAAGTATTGAGTGGTGGCAAAAATGTCATCACATGTTTTAGAGTATATATATTGGGACATCTTGGTTTGCTGCCATTGTTTCATACTGACTGCATTTAAATAATGCATTTTAAATTGTCCTTTTTAAATATCAAAAATGAGAGTTCAGTTCATCCTTTTAGAATTTAGTTTTTATGATAATCGTTCTAGAAATCTGTGTTCCTTTACTGAAAGCTTGTGCCCAAAACAGTATCAACGCTATTAATATGTTGTTTGTGAATGAAACTATTTCGGGACATAATTACAGTCTATTTTTGACTAGAAAAAGTTTAGGGTTGGCAATTTTATGTGAAAGGGTTGATGTAAATGCGTTTTCATATGAAGCTTAGATATTTTAAAGACCATGTGTGAAATCCATTGACATCATGGCAAAAAACATTCAAGTCTTTAGCACCATATGCTGTTTGGAGTAAGCATTGCAGCTATGGTAGCCCACACACATCAAAAAGGCAACATGTCCACAACATCTAACTTTCACTGTAGCCATTCTAGTCCATTCTTTATAGCACAAGTTTGATAGTATAATCAATTTCGAATCTCTCTAGCTTAACCCAAACAAAGCATATAACTACGATTGAGCAGTTAAAATTTTTTTGAATTATGACGATATATATCAACCTACCAGTCCTGCAGGAAGCATGTAATTTCTGTCGGGCCTTGAATCTATCACCAATTCACACACAAAGGAGGGGTGGCGTCAGCCAAGGGTTCTGGTGTCACATGGATCTGGGAGCAGCTGTGAAGTAATCAACCCTGGCCGCCGCTTAGCCACCAGCTAACGGATGAACGCTGGCGTGAGCCACAGTAGAGACAGACCAGACATCACTGGCTGCCTGTTAGCCACTACTTAACGGATGAATGCCGGTGTGAGGCGCAGTGGTGATGGCTGCCTGTTAGCCATCGGCTAGCAAAGGAGAGCTGGAGCATGTTGGGAGAGAGATGGCAGACTGCGGAAGGGGAAGAGACTTGATTAGAAGGAACTTTATGAGGCATCTTGAAGAAGAACTGATACATTGAGATTTGGAGTTCTAATACAAAGTAAAGAAAAATTAGCACATTGAGGGGACTTATAGTTAGGGACACCACTTGGAGGCTGGTGTCGAGTTAATAGCAGGCAGGAATCTCATGCGGCTGCCGAGTATTGGACATGATGACAACCTGACAAATTTGATGTGTCTTTCGATTTTGTTGTTTGTTGTTCAAACTAACTGAGTGTGGCAAGGTGGATAAACGAGGGCCCGGGCGGGATTCGATCCCCAGACTCCCGGGTGAGAGTCATACGCTCTAACCAGTCAGCCAAAGGGACATCCCCTTGGCCAAGTAGCCAGGGCGCATGATCTATCGGTACACTGTGACAGGACACTCACACTGTCACATCTTCCCCCCTCTTTCCACAAGCACGTCCTCGTGCTCCCGCGCAGGGTGCCACAAACTTCACATCCATGGACCTACTTGACAGTACTACATGGATCCTGCCAACAACGCCAAATGTGGCAAGGTGGATAAACGAGGGCCCGGGCGGGATTCGATTCCCAGACTCCCGGGTGAGAGTCATACGCTCTAACCAGTCAGCCAAAGGGACAATCCCTTGGCCAAGTAGCCAGGGCGCATGATCTATCGGGACACTGTGACAGGACACTCACACTGTCACATGAGTACAGCAACAGTGTAACAATTGTCTTCTTCTTAGTTGAAATGGCAGACCCCATGTTTCCATGGATTACTGCTGCCCTCCACTGTTTCTTTCAGCACAAAAGCATAACAAGCTTATATCCCTATATAGCTATTGTATTTCAAGATGGCACATGACAATGAAGCGTCGACCACAATTTATATGTTTAAAATGTAAATTTTCAAGCTGAGAGGAATATTTAGAATTGACGTTGGTGAGAAATGCTAATGAAAAAGCACAAATATGTGAACGGGTTACACAGATTTTGATAGTAAACTGGTAAAAATATTACACACTGTAGCTTTAAATTTCCCTAGTCTCACATGCAGAGATTTTATTATCTATTTCCCATTAAGGAGCATCTTTTTTCTTTTCTGTACAATAAAAGATGATCAGCTTTTATTCCAAATTTTAATAGTATGAATGACATTCCTAACAGACAGAATGACTGATACAGTAACGGTAACGATTGTGTGGTTTCATTATATGCTACAACGGCTTATCATACCCCTAGAACACAGAGAAGATCCAGGAAATAGATCCATTGTGCATCAAGTTAACCAGTATGAGGGCGGATTAGAACGGAAACAGACATACTTGTCTTTGCAAGCAAATTGTTCTGTTTCAAATTTCGTTAAAAATGCAGAAAATCTGTCTCAGTGAGTACATTTTAATTTAAAGACTATAATGACGTTGGTGGAACGTTGTGGATACTTGAGCAAATGAATTTTGTTTCCAACATTTAAACCTCAAAATGCAGAACATCTTGGAAAACTTATTTGTGCTTTTACAAACTAATTCCCAATACAGTTTAAGTTCGCTTTACAATCAAAAAACGTTTCAGTTCGATTTCATTTTACGCTTGAAAGTATCCGTGAGTTTTGATCTTATTTTGAAAGTTCAGCGGAAAAGCTTACTTCCTTGGAATCTAACTTGATGCTAGTCCGTTAACTTCTGTGCGGTTAGCCAACCGAAGCATGAGGTCGGTGTTCTGTCCGTTTAACCCGGGTACCGTTAAATGACATAAATGTCGCCATGATAGCTGTAATGCTTTAGCTCTTTTCGGGTTCAGTTGATTCTTGTTTGAATGAAACGGAAACGCTAGCTTCCCTCCCCCTACCCCACGCCTCCAGCACCGCTTGAGTCTGTGACGGGCTTAGCCATGATGTGGTTGTAAATAACTGCTGTCGAGGGAAGTTATAATTGACATTATCAAAGCTGATATCGACCTGTCAGCATTCGTTTAGCGCTCGCATGCTTTTATTCTGATAGTCGCTCGAGTTCCGCGTCTGGAGGGTCCGCTACATTTCGTTGACTGCGTCCACAGTCCTTCACGTCAGAAGGAAAACATGTCTTTCTTCAATTTTTGGAAGATGTTTAAGTTACCCGAAAAAAAGAAGAAGCAGTATGAACATGTTCACAGAGACGTCGATCCAGAAGACATTTGGGAAATAATTGGGGAGCTAGGAGATGGCGCTTTTGGCAAAGTGTACAAGGTAAGTTGATGTGTTACGTTACATCCGCCTTCTAGCTTTCTCGCCCATTTATGAACAAACTCGATTGCGTTGCTTTTGGAAGTCATTTGATGTTAAGATGACAACAAAGATGTCTCAACATTTGGTCAGGCCTCAGCCTAAAGTCAAGGCCCATGACTAAATTTCTTTTATTCATTCCACTAAAACAGTCACGTGTAAACTTTCCATGTGTGGAAATGTGAAAAAAGATAACAAATTTACAGCATTCTACATTTTAATTAACATTCTTGTTTACAACAGTTATTTTCACGTTTAAACGTGACTTTCTGATGTGTTTCACTTGCCTTTGGTAAAGAAAAAAATATACCGAAGGCGTGGTTCGTTGCAACAAATGAAACGTGACCTCAAAATGTCAAAGTATATTGTTAAATCCGCCTCCCAGAGATCACAGGACACAGAGCCGTTCTCTAAAACTACACAGCATTTGTTTAAAGTAGTCACTCTCTCTATGCCTCTGGACTTTCTGTTCAGTAGCTTATGGATCCCCATACTGTTAGGTGTTTTGTAAATATAGCTAACTGATGACTTCTGCTAACCTGAGAATGTGTTTCATCATAACAAAAGCCTGTTATTTGATAACAAATAGACCTAATGTCATCATATGTACACCTGTTATTGCTTTCCTCTTTTCCTGAAACATTTTCTTTATGAATTTGAAGAAATTGGTTCACTTTTTGGTGGTTTCGTGTTGTGTCCATGTTAAATAACGTCTTATAGTTGTGTAAACTATTGTAATCAAATTAATCTTAATTTGCCTTCATTTGTTTTCTAGTCTCTTAAGCAGTTTGACTAGCTGTAATGGAAATCAGACGACTCACAATTTAGTTTTCTGCCAGCTTAAGCTTTAAAATAGACAAAATAAATTTGGTGATGTTACATTGACTGCATTAAAGTGGTAAAAGGAAGATACTTTCTATTGGTTCATGTTTTTATTATTGTATTTATTAACACAAAAATTCACATTAGGTGGCTGCATTTAGGTATGGTGGAAAAGGTTGTTTTTAACTTCCACATAGGTCTGACATGCTGCAGTACATAATGTATTGTGTTTTAAAACTAAAGAGGTGTGTTAATTTTACCACCTCACTCTGGCTGCATAAAAGTTTGTATACACAGTGAGTAATCTCAGTGTTCCTGGGCAGTATTTAGTAAATCATTTACTGGTGATTTAGTGAGAGCTGTGTCATTTTTCCCACATATTCTCACATGTAGATTAGTCACAAAAAAAAAACATGCAAAATTGCACAAAAAAATCAGCAAGGCAGTGAAAAGTGAACTGCCTTATAGTGAGGGACAGAAACCACTGTAACAGTTTAGTATGCTAGCTAAATGCTAATATGGCATTGCAATGAAAAATTAGGCTGTTTTTAGCTTTCTTGGTTTTGTATTGACTTCAAAATTACAGCTGCTCAATGCTACCAACAATCTGGGAAACCCCAGACAACTGGTCAAAACTTCCAGAACCCAACCTGAACCTCCTCCTACTCACTTTTCCTAAACACACACATTTGTTGTCGAGGTAACAAACTGACCGATGGCTCTGCCAGCCAAATGAGGTCAGGCTGCGTTCACAGTTAACAGCTCTGTCACCTAAACATTTACCAACAAAAGCAGGTCCAGATTCTAAACATCATATAAAACAACTCCTTAAAGAGCAAGTCAACCCGTACCAGATTCTAACTCCACTCCCACTTCATGTTTGAAAAATGCAACAAATGCTGTTGCCTGGCAGACCGAGAGGGCGGAGCTGCTAACAAATACACAAACACACAGGCATTGTGACATCATAACGTACCAGTTTACATCATAGCATACCTCTTAGCCAATAGTGGTGGCAGATTTAAATTAGAATACAGTGCAGAGTTTTTACCTGACAACGGCACAACACTGACAGTTTTAGGCAGAATATTTAAATTTTAACTAAGATGCACTGAAGTGCCAAATTATTGACGACACGTGTCTGCAGCACGATTAGACACTCGTTTATTTAGTTTATCAGCAAAAAAAAGTTTATTTGGGGGTGACTTGCTCTTTAATTGAAATTTCCAAAAAGAACTGAACAGTTTTTATTACACTAGGCAGCCTGGCTCTCTAGCCTCATTCCTGTTCAGCTGCTCTGAGACAAAATCTCATGATTCATTCAGTGAGTGGTATGTGCAGATGAGAGAAATGGCAAGAGGGGAGTTTAAAAAGACACAATACAACTTCTATACATTTATGAATCATTTTCTTGAGCCAGTATGTTTCTAAAATAACTATTTACAAGGTAAGTGAAAGGCCACTCACCCCCATAGCCCCCTGTGTCTGGAATATTCCACTTGCAAGTAGAGTTGCAATGATTATAAATTTTAGTGGTACGATTATATAGTCAGAGAATCGAGATGTTCTCTGCTGTTTCCTGGACACTAAACCAACAACAGCCTTCCCCATCATAAGTCAAGATGGGTTAATCCATGAATGCTACAGTGTGGCGTAGATTTGTCGGGCTTTTCTAATCCTAAAGTTTCACCGTCTATTTTCTATTAGAAGCTAATGCAGGAGATAGGTGTAGGAGACTATTTTCATGTTCAGCCCGCATGAAAACGCAGAATGACTGATTATCACAAATAATCATTAAAAATGTTTTTTTTCAGTGAACTACACCTTTTAATTATATTAGCCTAATAACCTTTTTTGAGTTTCTGTAAAAAGACAAAAAGGTTTAATTGTTGACAACTGGTCAGGGTTAGCACTGAAGAATGAGACACCTTAACTAATTAAGATGCTAAATTCCTACCATTGCAATTGTTATTATGAATATTACTTATTACTTAAATGTAATTTCTACTTGTTCATATCGTTTCAAATTTAATCAGTAAGAATATTATTTGGACAAGGATAAATTATATTATTGCTACGTAGAGCAGGAATTACTGATGTGTAGTTGATTAAATATTTAAATGGCTTGCCGTACAGGCTTGTTGTAGACAGATACAGGGGGGAATGTAGAAAACACAATAGGGACTGTCATTCACTGGATTGTTCTATTGCTGTTAAATCTTTTCAGTCACTAACGTAATCTGACTCAGCTGGAGCTAATTTGTCTGCGTGCAGTCCCGGTGGTTGTTGATCCTAGTTCAGCTGGATGCATTTGTTCAGTTTCACTTTTGCTTTGGTCCGCTAATATCTTTTTTTTATTTGCGGTGTTAGAGACGTCCTTATGGTGGGTTAACGACAGCGTTTCACACCGTGGTTAATAGGTAAACCTGTTAATCCTGGCAACCCTACTTGTAAGTAGCAACTTCAGAGCTACTGAGATGTTTCAGCTGTTAGATTAAGGTGTTAAAAAGATGAATGAACAGCGAGGAGATAAGTTTTACTTTTGGTACTACTAAACAGACACAAGGGGTTGCTACAAGCAAGCCAAAACTGCCTAGTCTCCCTTTAATGGATGGGTCATGAATCATGATCCAATCATTAAGAATGAGACCACAACTACTGGATGATGTTTCTCCAGGATTATTAGTGTAAAAGGCGATTAAATGTACACCTTTTTTGACAAAGCATTTAATTTATTGGTTTCCTCCTTGAACCTGTCACCTTATCGTGGTGGAGGAGTTTGAGTGCCCTAATGATCCTAGGAGCTATGTTGTCTGGGGCACTTTGTGCCCCTGGTAGGGTGTCCCATGACAAATTGGTCGTAGGTGAAGGGTGAGACAAAGAACGGTTCAGTGGATCTTTCATGGATGAACTATCAAGGTGTCGGAGTACCCGGCCCGGAGGGTTACCGGGGTCCCACCCTGGAGCCAGGCCTGGGGTTGGGGTCCGTGAGCGAGCGCCTGGTGGCCGGGCTTTCGCCCATGGGGCCCGGCCGGACCCAGCCCGAACCGGATATATGGGCTCATCCAACCGTGGACCCACCACCCACAGGAGGAACATGAAGGGTCCGGTACAGTGTGGATCGGGTGGTAGACCGAGGCGGCGAGCCTTGGTGGTCCGATCCCCGGACAAGGAAACTGGTTTTTGGGACATGGAACGTCGCCTCGCTGGCGGGGAAGGAGCAGGAGCTTGTGGCAGAGGTTGAGCGGTACCAGCTAGATCTAGTCAGACTCACCTCGACACATAGCATTGGCTCTGGAACTCAAGTCCTTGAGAGGGGTTGGACACTCTCCTTTGCTGGACTTGCTCCGGGTGAGAGGCGGAGGGCTGGGGTTGGCTTTTTGTTAGCCCCAAGACTCTCTGCCTGTGTGTTGGGGTTTACCCCGGGGGACGAGAGGGTAGCTTCCCTGCGCCTTCGGGTCGGGGAACGAGTCCTGACTGTTTGTGCTTATGGGCCAAATATCAGTTCAGAGTACCCACCCTTTTTGGAGTCCCTGGGACGGGTGCTAGATAGTGCTCCATCAGGGGACTCCATTGTCCTGCTGGGGGACTTCAATGTTCACGTGGGCAATGACAGCATGACCTGGAGGGGTGTGATTGGGAGGAATGGCCCGACTGATCTGAACTCGAGTGGTGTTACGTTTTTGGACTTCTGTGCAAGCCGCAGTTTGGCCATAACGAACACCATGTTTGAACATAAGGATGCCCATCGGTACACTTGGTACCAGGGCAGCCTAGGTCGCAGGTTGATGATAGACTTTGTAGTCGTATCATCTGACCTGCGGCCGTATGTTTTGGAAGATGCCGCGTAGACCTGGCAGACCAAAACGCATAGTGAGGGCCTGCTGGGAACGCCTGGCAGAAGAACCTGTCAAGACGGTCTTCAACTCCCACCTCCGGCAGAGCTTTGACCTCGTCCCGAGAGCAGTGGGGGGCATTGACTCCGAGTGGGCCTTGTTCCACTCTGCGATTGTTGAGGGGGCTGTTGCTAGCTGTGGTCGCAAGGTGGCCGGTGCCAGTCGTGGTGGAAACCCCCATACCCGCTGGTGGACATCAGAGGTTCTGGGAGCCGTCAGGCTGAAGAAGGACTACAGGGCGTGGCTGGTCTGTGGGTCTCCGGAGGCAGCAGACAGGTACCGGATAGCCAAGCGGGGTGCAGCAGTGGCAGTTGCCGAGGCAAAATCTCGGGCGTGGGAGGAGTTTGGTGAGGTCATGGAAAAAGGCTATCGATCGGCTCCAAAGAGGTTCTGGCAAACTGTCCGGCGCCTCAGGAGAGGGAGGCAGCAACTTGCTCACACTGTTTACAGTGGGGATGGGGAGCTGCTGACGTCAACTGGGGCTATAGTCGGACGGTGGAAGGAATACTTTGAGGAGCTCCTCAATCCCATCTACGCACATTCCGAGGAAGAACCAGAGCCGGGAGACCTGGGGATGGACTGTCCAATCTTGGGGACAGAAATTGCTGAGGTAGTCAAACAACTACACAGCAGCAGAGCCCTGGGGGCGGATGAGATTCGTCCTGGGTATCTCGAGGCTATGGATGTTGTAGGGCTGTCGTGGTTGACATGTCTCTGCAACATTGCATGGTCATCGGGGGCAGTGCCTGTGGAGTGGCAGACCGGGGTGGTGGTCCCCATCTTTTAGAAGGGTGACCTGAGGGTGTGTTCCAACTATAGGGGGATCACACTCCTCAGCCTCCCTGAAAAGGTCTACTCCAAGGTACTGGAGAGGAGGGTCCGAGCGATAGTTGAATCTCAGATTGAGGAGGAACAATGTGGTTTTCGTCCTGGCCGTGGAACTGTGGACCAGCTTTATACCCTTGCAAGGGTGATGGAGGGGGCATGGGAGTTTGCCCAACCAATCCACATGTGTTTTGTGGATTTGGAGAAGGCTTATGACCGTGTCCCCAGGGGCACTCTGTGGGGGACGCTCCAGGAGTATAGGGTGGGTGGCTTTCTGTTAAGGGCCATTCAGTCCCTGTACCAGATGAGCGTGAGTTTGGTCCGCATAGCCGGTAGTAAGTCGGACCTGTTCCCGGTGAGGGTTGGACTCCACCAGGGCTGCCCTTTGTCACCAGTTCTGTTCATTACTTTTATGGACAGAATTTCTAGGCGCAGCTGTGGTGTGGAGTGTGTCGAGTTTGGTGGCAGGAGAATCTCGTCTCTGCTTTTTGCGGATGATGTGGTCCTCCTAGCTTCATCCAGCTCTGACCTTCAGCTCTTGCTGGGTAGGTTCGCAGCCAAGTGTGAAGCAGCTGGGATGAGGATCAGCACCTCCAAATCTGAGACCATGGTTCTCGACCGGAAAAGGGTGGCTTGCCAACTCAGGGTCGGGAGAGAGGTCCTACCTCAAGTGGAGGAGTTTAAGTATCTTGGGGTCTTGTTCACAAGTGAGGGAGGAGTTTAAGTATCTTGGGGTCTTGTTCACAAGTGAGGGTAGGAGGGATCGGGAGATCGACAGGCGGATTGGTTCAGCATCTGCAGTGATACGGAAGCTGAGCCGATCTGTCGTGGTGAGGAGGGAGCTGAGCCAGAAAGCCAGGCTCTCGAGTTACTGGTCGATCTACGTCCCATTCCTCACCTATGGTCATGAGCTTTAGGTAATGACTGAAAGAACGAGATTGTGGATACAAGCGGCCGAAACGAGTTTCCTCCATAGAGTGGCTGGGCTCAGCCTTAGAGATAGGGTGAGGAGCTCGGACATTCGGGAGGGACTCGGAGTAGAACCGCAGCTCCTCCGGATCGAAAGGAGTCAGTTGAGGTGGTTTCGGCATCTGGTCAGGATGCCTCCTGGATGCCTCCCTGGGGAGGTGTTTCGGGCATGTCCTGCTGGCAGGAGGCCCCCGGGTCGACCCAGGACACGTTGGAGAGGTTACATCTCCAATCTGGTCCGGGAATGCCTTGGGATCATGCCGGAGGAGATGGTGGAGGTGGTCGGGGAGAGGACGGTCTGGAGCTCCCTAGTTGGGATGCTGCCCCCGCAACCCGGACCCGGATAAGCAGAGGAAGACGACAACGACTTTTCCATCAGTATGTGAAGAGCATTTCAAGCCAAATGGCAACAAGCTCTAGAAGAATATCCACACTGCACCTTTAATTTTTTGTTGACCAAAGGCAGCTGGATTATCACCCACAAAGACATCATAACTTTGTAAAATGATTGTATTAAATATGCACCAGGATTGACCCGTCACACAGGGTTGTGGTCTTGTCTACCAAGTAATCTTTACCATTAGATTCCACTTCCTGTCTTGTGTATTTTCAGATTTTACACCATGTTTTACTGTTTTATGTTGCTTTTCAGGCGCAGAACAAGCAGAATGGGACACTGGCTGCTGCTAAAGTCATCGACACAAAGACAGAGGATGAATTGGAGGATTACATGGTGGAGATCGACATTCTGGCCTCCTGCAACCATCATCACATCGTCAAACTGCTGGATGCCTTTTTTTTTCAAGGCAAGCTCTGGGTGAGTGACCCAGTTCTCAATTGAGAGAACTGTTTATTTCACCTCTTTACTGTGAATGCTTTGACCCTGTTTCAGCCCTCAGACTCCATTCAAATGGTTGCAAACATTTATTTTACTTGTACCTCTCCTCACTAATCCAGCAGTTTAATTCTGAGCCGAGTGCTCAGTTTTAATACATGGTCTCATTCTGAGGGCACAAATGGGCCATTCCCATCTGTATCTGGTCGGCCCAGCCCAGATAGCATAGCTTGCTTACATATCTTGGTGGCCTGCCTTTTTTCAGGGTGCAACAAGACTCTTTTTCAGCTCTCTTTCTGAAGTGGTCTGCTTCAGGCTGACCAGGGCCAAGCCCACCCACTGCTGACTGGTAAGCCGGCTTATCAGTCAGCAAATTCACACCTTCCATTAGAGCAAGGCTCTGATTGGTGGGTAGAATCAGCTCACATGGGCTTAAGGCATGCTCAATTCATTATCATTCATTATCATGCTGATTACTTAGAAACTGAAAATGTCTCTGACCGCATTCCTTGCATATCCAAGCAAGGATGTGTGGAATCGACCGAGTCAGGCTGGGGCCGACTGGAGCTATCCGGGCAGGACCGACCAGGTACAGATGGGAATGAGGCATAAGAGGCCCCAGAGCAATTACGTCCTGTCAGGTGGTGTCATGTGACCGCCCCTTGTGAATTGGCCACAACTATAGGGAGATAATGGAGAGGGTTTGGTGGCCGGAGAAAGTGCGTATGAATAATTCATGGCTGTGTGCAGCGGGTCATAATTCTGGCCTCTTGTCTTTAAGCAGCGTGATTAATGTGTTATTCCCTCTTCTTTGGTCAGATAATTTATCATATATTTGAGTTTTTCTGCTCTGGCAAATAGGTGTGTATTGTAGAAACAAGACAGTCAGGTTTTTGATTAGATTACCATGGTGTGATTAGAGACTATGAATAACGTGTTCTGCAGAACAGGTTTGTTTCTTTTCTTTGTTTGAACCCATAGGTTTCACCTGATCATGGTTTTGATTATTTTGTTCCATCCTTTTGGCACCAGTAACTGACTTTTGACTGCAGTCGATAACGTCATACCTGCTTCTATAAAAGGCAGCATGAAGCTGTCCCATCCAGGATTCTTTCAGCACAACACATAAACAAACAAGGCATGAAGTCGACTTCACATTCTCCATCAGATCAGTGTTTGGGGTTGTTTTCCTAAAACTCTCTGTAACCCTGAGATCCTTCTCATGCGTCATTTCTAAAGCTTGGAAAATGATCCTTATACCTTCCCCTAGTTTGTAATAAGATCCCTGGTGATGTTTTAATCTCACGGGAGCGGACACAATTGATTGTGTTAAAATGGAAACGTGTGTGAAGCTGCTCAGAGTGCATGTTTAGCATCTGATTGATTGGCTCCTTTCGATGTCTCTGTGGTGTGATCAATAACAGAATGGCATTTCTTGTGTATTAAAGGTCATGTTGCTTACTTCATTGCAGTATGTTAACTTGCTTTTTATGGTTTTGTTTTGCAGATTCTGATCGAGTTCTGTGCCGGTGGTGCGGTCGACGCCATCATGCTGGGTATGTCCCTCATGAGCTGAATGAAACTTATGTTTTAGTGACTCTTTCTGCTCCATTCAGAAGAGCCAACTCTTTCTATTCCATCCCAAAGTCTCCACAGTGGGAATTGTTCCCTTATCAGTTTGAGAAGCCATTCCTACTGTGTAATTATTGCATCTCATGTTTCATAGCATGATTATCCCAGTCCTATGCCCTCAGTGACTGTTTTCTGTAAATCCTGAAGAGAAAATGCCAATTTTATTGTTAACATGAAAAGTCAGTCTGACTTGGCTCAGTTTGTTTACTAACATTTGATATGGGGAGAATTTGCCATTCCACATGCCATTAGATTCTATTGAGGATGTATCGCCAATATAGCTCTGTTTAATGTTCATATTTGTCTTCAGAACTGGAGAGGCCCCTGACTGAGCCTCAGATCCGAGTGGTGTGCAGACAGACGCTGGAGGCGTTGATTTACCTTCACGAGAACAAAGTCATCCACCGAGACCTGAAAGCTGGAAACATTCTCCTCTCCTTGGATGGAGATGTAAAACTAGGTAAAATAATCGTCATTTAACTGGATCTCTTGGTGTTTATGTGTTTGTGAATAATTTATGCAGTAAAAGTGCACAACACCAAGCTTTGTGAAACTGCAAGGAATTAATCATCATAAAACAGCAGAGAACGTCTTGGCTAGTAGAAGCTAACCTTTAGCCTTAGCAACTCCACCCTACAGCAGAACTCCTTCAGGCTTGTGTTATTTGTGGAGATAAAACATCAGAGTTGCAAAGTAATTAGAGTCAGTGGTAGAGTGACGTTGCTGTTAGCCAATCAAAAGAGAGATGTCCAAATATCAGGAAGTAAGACTCCAAATCCTGCTTTCTGGACCTCAACTTTGATCTGGCAGTCTTCCAGATCCTGAAACCAAGAAGAAGAAAATATCATTTCTATAGTGCCTCTCAAGATAAAAATCACGAGGCGCTTCACAAAAACAAAAAATATAAAAAATTGTAAAAATATAAAAAAGCACTTAGAAAATATTTAAAAATATATTCAAAATGAGCAAGAATAAGTAATTGCGATTTAAAAGAAAACATGTTAAGAAAGAGAGTGAATAGGAAAGAGGGAAATCAGTGGATCCTGAGGAAGGTGAAATTGTTGGGGAGAGCAGAATAAAGAGAGAGTGGTGAAGAAGGTCATACAAAAGCCAGCTTGAACAAATGAGTCTTCAGCTGCTTTTTAAAGGAGACCACTGAGTCCACTGATCTCAGGCTCAGGGGGAGAGAGTTCCAGAGTCTGGGGGCCACAGCAGCAAATGATCTGTCACCTTTGGTCTTTAGCCTGGTGCTGCACAACCAGTAGGCTTTGATCACTGGACCTCAGGGACCTGCTGGGGGTGTAGGGACTAAGAAGATCACCAATGTAAGATGGTGCTTGTCCATGTAAGGCCCTGTAGACCAGAACCAGGATCTTGAAATGAACCCTGAAGTTGACTGGCAGCCATTGACGCTGGAGGAGAAGCAGGGTGATGTGGGTGTGTTTGGAGGACTTGGTCAGAAGCCGAGCACAGGCATTCTGAACCACCTGTAGACGGTTCAGGGAGGTTCTGCTCAGACACGTGAAAAGAGAGTTACAGTAGTCTAAGCGTGAGGAGATGAAGGTGTGGAGTGGAGAACAGTCTCAAGTTCAGAGCGAGACAGAATGGGACTCAGCTTAGCAATGTTCCTGAGATGGAAGAAGGAAGAGCGAACAAGAGAACTGACATGAGAATCCAGGGTAAGAGCTGGGTCAAAGGTCACGCCAAGATTCCTGACAGAAGGTTTGGTGTGAGAAGCAAGCTAACCAAGAGAGTCTCTGACTTTGGGAACCAGCTTGTCTGGAGCACAGATGAGGATCTCAGTCTTATCTTCATTCAGCTGAAGAAAGCTCCCAGCCATCCAGGTTTTGATAGAGTCTAAGCAGGTGTGTAACAGCTGCAGCTTAGACATCTCATGGGGCTTAAAGGAGATGTACAGTTGGATGTCATCTGCATAAAGATGATAGGAGATTCCTTTGAAGGAGCTCAGGACGTGCTGAAGAGGAAGCAGATAGAGGAGGAAGAGTAGAGGCCCCAGCACAGAACCTTGTGGGACACCATGGGTAAGAGTGGTGGTGGAGAACCTAAACTTGGAGACGGCCACAGAGAAGGAGCACTCAGAGAGATAAGAGGACAACCACTCCAGAGCAGATCCTGATAGGCCTACCCAGTCTCTCAGCCTCTCCAGTAGCAGGTGATGGTCAACAGTGTCAAAGGCTGCAGTCAGGTCCAACAGGACCAGAACAGAACAGTCCCCTGCATCACTGTGAGTCAGAAGGTCATTGGAGACCCCAAGAAGAGCTGTTTCAGTAGAATGAGCTCTACGAAAACCTAACTGGAAGCTATCATAGATGTTATGTTCATCAAGAGCAGCAATGAGTTGTTTAGCCACAACCATTTCCAAGATCTTGGAGATGAACAGAAGTTTAGAGATGGGTCTGAAGCTGCTATGGAGAGAGGGGTCGAGACTCGTTTTTTTAAGAAGCGGGTGGATTACAGCGTTCTTAAAGTAAGCAGGGACCTGACCAGAAACCAGAGAAACATTAATTATAGAGAGCACGCTGGGACCGATGGACTGAAAGGCACTTTTAAACAAAGATGAGGGTAAGATGTCGAGGGGGCATGCAGAGGTCTTCATAGAGTTAACTAGTTTGGTTAACTCAGGCAAAGAAACAGGAGCAAAGCTATCTAGGATGATGGGCCTGGTTGGAGTTGGGAGAGGCAGCGATAAGGCTGAAGGAGAGATGCTAGATCTAACCTTATTGACTTTGTCCAAAAAGAAAGACAGAAAGTTCTCACAGTCTTCAACAGAGTGGATGGAGGCTTTAGGAGTGGCAGGAGAGACGATGCTGCTGATGGTGTTAAACAGCACCTTGGGTTTCCCTTTGCTCTGGGACACCAGGTTGGAGAAATGGGAAACCCTAACGTCTCTGACTGCAGAGTTAAAGGATGTCAGAAGATCCTTTAGGTGCAGCAGATGGACGTGGAGATGGGTTTTCTTCCACAAACGCTCAGTTTTTCTGCATTGGCGCTTTAGGCTGCGAAGGCTGTCAGTAAACCAGGGGGTAGGGTTCACTGCAGGAACTGATCTGGTTCTGACAGGACAGATGTTGTCCAGAATGGAGAGGCAGTGCTCGTTAAACTGAGAAGTTAAGGAATCTGGGTCGGTATCAGAAGAACAGGGTGGATCAAAAGCAGCAGAAAAATTGCTAGCTGTGCTCTCATTAAGAAAACGAGAACTAACCATACGGCGAGCAGGAGGTGGGAATGCAGAAACTGACAAGTTAAAGAAAATGCAATGGTGATCTGAAATATAAACGTCCTCAGGACAAACACTGTCAGCATTTAGACTTCTTGTATCCAGAGTAGGGCCGGGCAATGTAGAAAAATAGCAGGGTTTCCCCCAGCGCTTTATAAGCCTGGCGCCCGCCATGCTTTGCTTGGCCACCCGCCAGGCTAAGCATCATGCCCCTCCCCGACCCTACCGTGTCCGCTGACATGAACGGCGCAACGAAACTAGAGCCCTCCATCAGCTGATACTGGTGAGAAACAGCAGCGGAACGTGTGCAAACCCCCCCTCATGGAGGAGCGCTGCAGGAGGGAGCGTGCGACCCCCACCTCCCCCCACCCCCCGACGGCCGAATCCGCCAGGCTTAACTCATTTTCTGGGGGAAACCCTGAATAGCATATTGATAAAAAAATGATTCATACTGATCGATATCGATAATTATTGAAAATTTTTATTGTTTTAAATGTAGAAAATTTATTTTAGGTGCAGCCCTGGCCACTTTATGCTAATCCTCAATTAACTAGTTTCAATAAAGAACAGAAAAAACTGACTTAACTTCAGTATTTTATTTAAACATCTTTATTTTACTGGGACCGAACGGTTTCAGAAAAAGACTGAATTGTGTTAGTTTTTCTAGCAGAAAGTAGGATTTCTGTTCAATTCATGATTTTCTTCAATTGAAGGTTCAGCTGCTGCACATTATTCACAATTATACAGTGTTGTTTACAAACATGACTGAAAATGTCTTCATATCATCATTTCGCTCATTTCCTCACTTTTCTGTAGCGCTTTTTATTTCTTTCCTGTTTGAAAGATTTGTTCCCACCAATATTTACATGTCCCTTCACATTAATATAATAAATGCCCCTGATATTCTGTGCATGCGCCACCCCCATCTCACGGTGATTGGAAGCACACACGCGCGCGCGTGTGCGCGTGTGTGTGTGTGTGTGTGTGTGTGTGTGTGTGTGTCACTCACTTCGGCTCCTTCAACTGTGGGTCACATTTGGCTTTCCACATGTTCACACACTTCTCGGGAACACAAATCTTCGAGCATGTGGGCAAAAGACATGCAGAGAAGTCCGTTCTGTCGTTTTTTATTTTAACAAAGGCGGGCGTGAGCAGTGATCCTTTTGGAGACTTCTGATATGAAGGATGCTGCTTCCTACCCTCCCCGTCAGCGAGACTCTTGAGAGCCGACTCTACAAAGAGTTGTTTCGTTCAGGACCGATACATCACTACTGCTAAGGGTTAGCGGCAGAGACCGGCCAGTCGGCCACAGCCCTGTAACAGCGCTACGAAATGGGAAGAAAAAACGAGAAAGCCTACAAATGTACAGCTCTGTCAGCTGAAGAACTGTCCTCAACTCCCATAACAAATTTAGTAAAAGACTCGTAAAACCATATTATTATTTCAGGACAATCTCCTCTGCCTCTCCTTGCTGCCTGTCTTGTTTAAGTCCTGTGCTGTCTGTTTAGTTTGAGAGGGAAGGGCTTGATGATGGAGCATGCCTGGATCCATGTTGACTAAGATGAGTTTTATTAATACAAACCTAAAATGTTACTGAAATGTAGGTCAAATTTTTAAAAATATTTTAAACTATAAATATCAGATGGGGGAAAAAGGGAACTAAACACCAATCTAATGCATATTATTTAGCCTTTTATACTAAGAGTCTGTTATTTCAGCCTGATAATTTTGTTGTTTTATTTCATATTTTTTAGCAGAAAACCAGTTTTGTTTCACTTGAAACGTTGTCAAATGGAATATTCAGTTAATCAACAGAAGCTTAGATTAGAACACTTAACGAGAAAATATTTAGTCTTTTAAAAAGTGAGGCAGTTGAATGCATAGAGTATGCATGTGCTGGCGAATGGTCTGGATGGTACCACCTCTGCCTCAGTTTGAGCCAGGAATAACCCTGATGTTGATTGGTTGGGAGTCTAGTATTAAGCTACCTAATAGGCTTTAATGAAAAAAAGAAAGGAAACTCTTTTGATCAAACTTTTTATCGACCCGTTTTTTTTATCGCACCACACGTCCATCCATAAAGATATCATTGTTGAATTATTGTCCAGCCCTAATCCAGAGTATGACTTATAAGGCATTTATTCCTACTAGAGATCACTGCAAATGTATTGATTAAATGAGTGAACCACACCTTTAATAAAATCAAAGTGAAGCTGTTTGTGTACTGAGTTTTTTATACATTTCTTACCTATTGTGGAAGATGATGCATCAGGTTTGGTTACATAACTTTATAGAAGTATTCATGCTGCTGCTGTAGCATTCATAACTGCTTTCTCCCTGATGACTCATGCTCTGTAGGCAGAGGGTCACAAGAGAGCCTGGCAAACAATAATTATCAAGCTAGGATGGATGTTTTTTATCCCTCTAACTCGTAGTCAGTGAAGAACACAGGAGGCAGAAAACAGTAAAGCAAGTGAAGCAGGTTTGTCTTCTAAATACTAAAATAAAGTAGTTTTACTCATTTCTACTTCCAGCTGACTTTGGGGTGTCTGCTAAAAACACCAACTCTTTACAAAGAAGACATTCTTTCATCGGCACGCCTTATTGGTGAGTCAAACAACCTCTCTTTACATCAATGTCTTAGTATGCACTTGATTGTTGGATCGCCTTCTTTCAGTCCTACAGAATAATACATTTGCAACTGAAATTCTGGTTAGTGCAATAACAAACGGATTATAATTGTTTGTTGTAGGATGGCACCAGAGGTGGTGATGTGTGAAACGTCCAAAGACCGTCCGTACGACTACAAGGCCGACATCTGGTCCCTCGGGGTCACACTCATCGAGCTGGCACAGATCGAGCCACCCAACCACGAGATGAATCCCATGAGAGTGTTACTGAAAATAGCCAAGTCCGAGCCACCCACTCTCATGCAGCCCTCTCGCTGGTGAGAATGTGTGCTAATCATGATGAGAGAGGGGCCAGTGGGATGGTTTTTTTTGTTGTTTTTTTTAGGTTTGAGATGAGGATGTGTGAAGTGTTTAACGTGGAGATCTGATGTTTAACAGAAATATGATTTCATAAAGCATGAAGTGTGCCAACAACACTTGTGATTTCTTTTCTTGGAAGGTCTCCAGAATTTAGAGACTTTTTGAGGAAAGCTTTGGACAAGAATGTTGACAACAGGTCGAGCGCAGCACAGCTCCTACAGGTTGGTCTTATCTCACAATACAAGGGTTTTTGTGCAATCTACATGGTTGCTATGTACCTGCATTCAATCTTTCAAAAACATAAGCTTGTGTTTATTTTGCAAATTGAATTTTTTCTGTATTGTCTTTGCAGCATCCTTTTGTCACCAGTGTAACTGATAGCAGACCTCTCAGAGAGCTTATAGCTGAGGCCAAAGCTGAAGTCACAGAGGAGATTGAGGACAGCAAAGAGGAAGAGGAGGAGGAAGAGCCCGATACACCTGTGGTGGGTAGGAGGGGCTGTGATCCTCCTCAAAAGGACACCAGTCAGTTGCTTTGGGTCAAGATGCAGGATGTAGCCATCAAGCGGTAGATGCATTTGATGCCCTTCTGTTGGAATTGGTACAGAGCGGCCTTTTGTGTTTGTTTTTTTGCTATTACTGCTCAGTGTCTAAAAAGCCTGAACTGTCCTCCTTTACGAGATTAGCTGTGGCAAATTTTGCTAAACTTTTTTTCTGCTCCTGTCAGTGTCTGATGAAGTGCCTTTGTTTGTGATTTTGTAACATCAGATGGCTCCTGGACACAAGCGAGGACCTTCAGATGTCAGCATGGCCAGCTCAGAGGAGGACAAAGTCCCACCAACTCCCTCCAACCTTGAATCGGTTACAGAAAAGACAGAGGCCAAGCCGGTGGAGGACCGAACCAGCGATAAGCTCTCTGATGAAGGGCTTGGAGCAAGCGAAATAGATAAGAATGAGGATGAAAAGCTCAATGATGTGTCTGATGCCAGTAATGAAGACTTGGCTTCTGGACTAATAGAGACTAGCAAGGACCTTGGCTCACAAGTGTTGTCCAGTGCTGAACCAGAAGGAGCTCAAACTGAAGAGGTTTCCATCGATACTGTGTTGTTTGAGCCAAAAGAACTCGTAGATTCCCAAAAACCTACCACAGGTGTTAAAGATGTAGAAGAACACAGTGAGACAGAGGACAGAGTAGTGGAGGGAGAAATAAGCCAAGTAAGCGAAGAAGGAAAAGTTCAAGATGACAAATGTGTAGAAAAATCACAAGACAAGCCTGAAGAGACACAAACACAAATGGAAGCAAAATCAGAGGACAACACTCAGGCTAACGAAGAACCTGAAGACTCAAATAATGACACTTCTATACCCAAAGTGACAGAGGACAGAATGGAAGACATGAACCGTGTCGAAGCTGAACACGTAGACTCTGAGGATGTACAATCAAATTTATTAAACACAAATGTAAATGGAGATGCAGATATCAAGACAAGTGTGGAAGAGTCCTCCGCTGAAGCTGAATCAGAAAATATGAGTCAGTCAGAGGAAAAGAGGAAGGGTGATGTCCCAGAGGAGCCGGAGCAACCTTCACAAGAGAATCATGCAACAGAGGAGTGTGAAGTACAAGAACAAGCACCAAGTGAAGCCAACACAGTCAGTGAAGAAGTTAGAGATGCATCTGAGGTTTCTGAGCCAGCGGTTACTTCTAAAGACGACTCTGTCAAGGAAGATAAGGAGAAAGCTTCTAGCACAGATGACACCTCCCAAGATGCCATTTCTGTCCAAGAGAGTGAAACCGGTTCAGAAACCAAGATGGAGCACGGAAGTCCTAGTGTGACCAAATTAGATGTGGAGAAGGACTCTGACTCTGGAAGCAGCTCTGCTGCCGACAGCAACAGCCTTGACCTTAACCTGTCCATCTCCAGCTTCCTGTCCAAAAGCAAAGAAGGAGGCTCCATATCTATGCAGGTAACCCAGTCTGAACTCCAGCCTATGTTACTAAAATATCAACACTGTCCTGGTCCTTTCATCACCCCAAATTTGTCCTCTACTCCTGATGATCTTGTCATTCAGTACAATAACGGTCTGGTTTCTATCCTTAATTCATTTGCTCCCATCAAATCCTGCTCTGTATATTTTACTCGGTCTGCTCCATGGTTCACCCCTGCCCTACGCTCCTTGAAAGCTACTAACCGGAGTCTTGAAAGACTACAAGAAAACCGGTCTCACCATCCATAAAAACTTATATTCTGCTCAGATTTCTCTCTACAAGGACTCCATCTCCCATGCCAAATCTCAGTATTACTCCGGTCTCATCTCCTCCAACTCCAGCAATACTAAGACATTATTTTCCATCATGAACAGCATTTTTCAGCCTCCCGACTCCTTACCCATCCATCTTTTCAGAAACGTGTAACTCTCTCCTTCAGTTTTTTAATGATAAGGTCAATAGAATCCATCTCTCTTTACCTCATTCCTCCCTCTCCTGATTTATTTGAACCCTCCATTCAGTTCTCCTCCTTTGAACTTCCCCGTCCCTCAGAACTATTAGATTACATCAAAATCAAAACCTTCCACCTGTCCATCAGACCCCCTTCCAACAGTTTTAGTTAAATCCTGCCTTTCCTCCCTGCTCCCCTTTATAACAGCCATTATTCATTCCTCACTATCCTCTGGTACGGTCCCCTCCCTATTCAAGTCCCCTTCAGTCAGCCCTATTCTAAAAAAAACCTGGTTTAGATCCCAATGATTTCAATAACCTCCGTCCCAGTTCCCATCTTCCCTTTATTTCCAAAGTCCTAGAGAAAACTGTTGCATCTCAGCTGCACTCCCATCTCACCCGCAGTAACCTTTATGAACAGTTTCAGTCTGGCTTCCGTCCCCACCACAGCACAGAAACAGCTCTCATCAAGATCACTAACGACCTACTCACTGCTGCTGATTCTGGTTTAATCTCTATTCTCATTCTCCTTGATCTGAGTGCGGCCTTTGACACCATTTCTCATCCCATGCTTCTCAATAGACTCTCTTCCTTAGGCATCACTCACACTCCCCTCCGCTGGTTTCAATCTTACCTTACTGGCCGCACTCAGTTCATCCAGTTAAAATCCTTTTCCTCAGAACCCTCCCCTGTCAAGTCAGGTGTGCCCCAGGGCTCTGTCCTGGGGCCCCTCCTCTTCATAGTATATCTCCTTCCTATCAGCAACATCTTCCACAAATTCAATATCCAGTTTCACTGCTTCGCAGATGACACCCAGCTCTACATTTCCAGTAAGCCCAACTCAACTCTCCCACCATCCTCCCTTACACTCTGCATCTCAGAAATCAAATCATGGTTCACCTCTAATTTCCTCAAACTCAACGGCAATAAAACTGAACTTCTTCTAGTTGGTACTAAATCCACCCTCTCCAAATCTGACAGCTTTTCTTTAACTATTGACAGCGCCATAGTCTCCCCCTCCCCTCACGTCAAGAGTCTGGGTGTCATCCTCGACAGCTCACTTTCTTTTCAAGCTCACATTAATAACATAATTCAGTCAGCATGCTTCCATTTACGTTCCATAAACAGTCTCCGCCCCTCCCTTACCCCTCACACTGCCGCCATTCTCATCCACAGCCTCGTCACCTCCCGTATCGACTATTGCAATTCACTTCTTTATGGTCTCCCCAACAAACTCCTTCATAAACTGCAACTGGTCCAGAATTCAGCAGCCCGTATTATCACCAGAACCCCTTCCTTTCACCACATCACCCCGGTTCTCCAACAGCTTCACTGGCTCCCAGTTAAATTCAGGTCCATCTTCAAAATTCTCCTCCATACCTTCAAAGCAATCCATAACCTCTCTCCTCCACATATCTCAGACCTTATAAAGATTAACCCCCCCCCCCCCCCCCCCCCCATTCTCTCAGATCTTCTTCCTCCATCCATCTTGTGGTTCCTTCTGCCCGTCTCGCTACCATGGGGAGCAGAGCTTTCAGCCGCTCTGCTCCTCGTCTCTGGAACTCACTTCCCCCAGACATCAGGAACATCGACAGTTTTACCCTTTTCAAAACCAAACTCAAAACACACATGTTTAAATGTGCCTATGACCTCTGATTTTATTGAACTGTTACTCTCTTTGTTTTTCTTGTTTGCGTTTTATTGTTGTTTTATTGTATTTTATTAAGTATTTTCTGTCAAGTGACCTTGGGTGTTCTGAAAGGCGCTTTTAGATAAAATGTATTATTATTATTATCTCATAAACCTACACCGGTGTTCTGGTAGGAGTCAAAACGTCAGAAGAAGACTCTGAAGAAGACTCGCAAATTCATGGTAGATGGTGTGGAAGTCAGTGTGACCACGTCAAAGATCGTGACGGACAACGATGCCAAGAGTGAGGAGATGAGGTTCCTGAGGTATGTCTATCCAGTCTGCTTGATCTGCAGTTGGTCTAAATATGGAGAGTGACCCGTTTAGCACGCCTGCCTAAAATAGTCCATGTTGCTTTTACAAACGCCAGACGGGTTATTGGCCATGATGGATTCTACATTCTGTTACTGGCTTCCTTTGTTACCTTTTAAAGACGCCGTGCTGCAAGTGTTGTCCTTCAGTTTTCTGTTTGGTTCATGAACTGGTCCCAGTAATGTAAAGGGTTAAGTAAGCAACAGTGAAGAAACGCTCAAACCTGGCATAGCAGGAAGAGGATGTGGAGTAAAACAGAAATTTGCTAATAAAGAAGTGAATGTGTGCTCCTCTTGACATCTGTGTTTGTTGTTTAAGGCGTCAGGAGTTGAGAGAGCTGCGCCTCCTTCAGAAAGAGGAGCAGAGGGCCCAGCAGCAGCTGAGCGACAAGCTGCAGCAGCAGAAAGAGCAGATCTACAGGCGCTTTGAACAGGAAACAACTGTGAGTCATTTTCTTTGTATCGCTGTGGTGTAACACCCCCACCTCCACCCAACTCTTCATAAATGAGCTACTTCATCTCAGCTGATCTGATTTTAAGAGGACTTAAGAGGAAATTAATGGCAAAGCACATCTTTTTTCTATTATTCTGCATTTCCACTGGAAATCTACGTTTTAATAAGTTATTGGAAGCAAATTTCAGATATTTAGACTTCAGAAATATAAAAGCCTCTCAAAACAACTTGGTCTGCTGGTCTGTACGTCTTAAAGTATCTCTTGCTTTCACAGGCAAAGAAACGTCAGTACGACCAAGAGGTGGAAAACCTGGAGAAGAAGCAGAAACAGACGATTGAGCGTCTGGAACAGGATCATACCAGCCGGCTCCGAGACGAAGCCAAACGCATCAAAACGGACCAAGACAAAGAGCTGTCCAAGTTCCAAAACATGCTGAAGAACAGGAAGAAGGAGGTACAGTCCAGGCATGGCCGATTCTGCGTGGGTGTGTCTTTAGTTGTCTGATTTTGGCTGCATGTCTTATTGATCTGTTTCATTGGTGTTTAAAACCTGGCTTAACGTGTTTTGTTGTGCTGATTCTGTGGGGGTGCTCGACCCTGTGTCTACAGCCTGATCCATCTCTTCTCCATGATGCTGCTTAATCCAGCTTCTCCTTCTGGTTTCCTCCTGACAAATAATTTTCTGTCCCATAACTTTTATTTCTGCTCATCCCTGGAATTTCCAACCTCTCTCCTTTTAAATGCTTTACTTGGTGTTATTTACAGTTTATAAGATTGTATGTGTGCATCTTTTTCAAAGGCAGTTGACGTTTTTGGCTTCTGATGCGCATTTGCAGCCATTTGCTGAGTGTTGTGCTTTTGCTTATTCAGTTTTAAGCTCAGTTATTTATTTAATTCTTGCAAGACAAATAACCATTGCACCTTTTTGCTTTAAGCTGTAGCTAATTGAGCCTTTGTGTGTGCAGGTCTGTTTTTAACTCATTCACTGCCAGCCGTTTCCTGATCGCTAACCGCCTTCGCTGCCAGCATTTCTCACCGTTTTTACTGTTTTTTTTTAAGAGTCACAGAACGTTGCGCGCTAGCATGATGTGGATGCCAAAACAACCAAAACAAAGAGGAGACTCACCTCTTACATCAGGAAGCATCCGTGTGTTTCGAGCCTTATCCGTTCTTTTGTAATCCGTTGTCGAATTGTGATAGGCAGACGCTTTTCCGGTTCGCGCCTCACTTTTTTTTTTTACAGGAACGACCCAAAACGATCTCCTAACACACGGATGTTCTGCTTCCTGATCACGTGGCATGTGACGTATGTGGATGAAGATCGGCTTTAGAGCTGAGATGTTTGTTCTCTCAGCACGGGGGCTCGTTCCGATGCTCAAACTGTAAAAAAATGCAAATGACGACTTTAGTCGTCAGTGGCAGTGAATGAGTTACAGTGTTACATTCATTGTTGAAATTCACTCGATGTAGTGAAGTAATCTTGTCTTTTTGTTTTTTGAATGAATGCGTTTGGGTTGGCCATGTGTGGCTGAGTACGGTTTTTCTGGAGGGCTGTTGGGTTCCTTTTGGGTTCCTTGTAACAGAGTAACTGACATGGACTTGTCTCAAGATGTTTATTTAGGGAAAATGATTATCCTCTTAGGTTATTTCTCATAATTATTCCATGCAAAATGTTCATTAAATATGTTAACACTGTGCTTTGGACTAATTGTGATATAAACCCTTTTTGACATAATTTATTTTAAAGTGGTACTTCACTGAAAAAACATTTATTTAAATATTGTATCTGATTACAATGGGTCACTCTGAGTTTTTCATGCAGGCAGACTATGAACATGGTCTCCCACTTCTGTCTCCTGCGTTAGCTTCCAGCGTTTCTGCTACACAGGCATGGCGCTGCGCAAGTGAAGCATCGCTCTCACGGTAGACGCACGGAAGCTAAACGTTCTGCGTGTGCACCCCCCCCCCCCCCCCCCCCACACACACACACACACACACTCACATGAGATACATGAAAGCTGACCGCACAGTGATGAACACCCCCCTCCCCCATTCTCTATTGGGAACGCTGGCTTCTGATAGAAAATAGACGGTGAAACTCTAGGATTTGAAAAGGCTGACAGAACAACGTCAAACTGTCACTTAACATTCATGGACTTACCCAGCCTGATTCGTGATGGGGAAGACTGTTGTTGGTTTAGCGTCCAGGAAACCGCAGAGAATGTCTCAGCTAGTAGAAGCTAACTGTTAGCATTAGCAGCTCCATCACACAGCAGAATTCCTTCAGACTTGTTACTTGCAGAGATGAAGCATCAACGTTGCAGAGCAGAGTCAGTGGTAGAGACGCGTTTCTGTTAGCCAATCAGAGGCCAGATGTCCAAATATCAGGAAATAAGAATCCAAATTCTAGTTCCTGAAACTGGTGCACCCGATCTCTCAAAACACCCCCCCCCCCCCACACACACACACACACACACCCCCGTACAACTAACAAGACACTTTCTACTAGACCGCTGCAAATGAATAACAAATATGAGTAAAGTACTACTTTAACTAATTAGCTAATTGGACAAATTGGTAAACATTCCAGCTCAGTTACTCTGCTTCTCTAATTTCCTGTCATAATAATCACATCAGTGTTTGCGAGACTTAAATTTGAGGTAGCAAAGCTGCTTTTGAGACTAACATCTTCTGCAATGCTTCAGTGAAATTTGTGTGTTGGTGTGATGTCACAACATCCTGGTGTTCCTTAAATTTTGAATGGTTGAAAGGGGAGAATCAAAGGGAGGCTGTGGAAAAACGCGCATGTCGAGGTGAAATCCGTTGGTGGCTGGATGTCGTAGCTGTCCTCTCAAAGTAGGCTGTGCATGTCTCCTGTTGGCCAGCTTTATTCGGTTTTCAGAGGGAACAGGATCACCTAGTTTCTACGTTACTGTAGGCCTTTCAGGAAGCTGGACAGACACCCAGACACATGAGAAAAGAGCTCATGAAACGGTTAAAAGAGGACCTGTCCCTTCTCCAGGCTTCAGAGGTAAAGCGTCACAGTCTCAGATGTAACTTTCTCTCTTCTTCTCTCCACCTGACTTATTTAAACCAATCATTTCCATTTTCTTTGAGTTTAGCTTCTTAGTTATATTCAGTTTTGTAGGAGAGTTTCACGTTTTATGCATTTCAGTTTGATGTGGACACAATCCAAAGTGCTGTGCAGAGCAGCTTTATATACAGAGTTATTATTTCTGTCTTTTTGTTTTGCGTTTACTTTTCTAGATGAAAGGATTGCGTACCCTTGGCAGATGGATTTTCATGTGAAATTCCAGCCTGGCAAGCCATCCTATAAGGTTGTTTTTCAAACTGTCTCCGTATGCTATTGGACAACAAACGACGTGACATACTCGGCGCTATGGATGTCGGTGAACGGGGCAGTCTTCCATACTCAAAATATGTCCTTTTTCTAAAGAAAGGACGTGAGTACCTCTTTCTGCCCCAGGCCCTGAAGACGAGCCCGAATCTAAATAGTCCAAAGTTGATTCCAAAGCCGTTTCAAATGAGCCGACACCGTCTTTGTTTCGCTCGGTCGCGGTAATATAGAGTGCTGTGATTGGCCGGCCACCAGACCAACACATTCTCACACCCAAGGCATCAAAATATGATGCATGTGACCAAGCCTCAATATATGACGAATCAGGATGCCCCAGCCCGTCAGGATGCAATGATCAGGGACACGCTGGGTCACGTGGCTCCACTGGCGTCACTGACGTGCGCAGTCACACGGGCATTATTCAACTATTTAACCTTCCCCTCACCCCAATCCTAACATTAAGGTCCATAAACTGTGATCTTAAGGTTAGGATTGGGGTGAGGGGAAGGTTAAGTAGTTCACAAGTAGTTCTAATGTCCGTCTCAGCACCAGCGTTGGATACCGACGCTCTGGGACGCTACGTCAGCAGTTTGTCCCTGATCGCCGTATCCTGACGCGCTGGGCCGTCCCGATTCATCATATATTGAGGCTTGGTCACACGCATCATATTTGACGCCTTGGGTGTGAGAATGTGTTCACCAGACTGGCCAGGGCTATGGAGGACCTAAAGGAGTGTGGTTATTCCGACGTGCAGAGGAAAATCATTTTGCTTTGGCTGCTGTCCATCTAGATGTCTAGGCTAGTGAAATTCCAGATGTAATCATTAAATCAGTGAAACATTTCGGTCTGACTTGTTCTGGTATAAATTTAAAATTCTTTAGTCAGATAATCCAAATGACATCATAAATGTTTATGTGCTAATCATGTGATTATGTGAGTAGATTAGATAAGAAGTATAATTCACACAACCACAACGGTTCATTAACCTTAAGTTATTTATCACCTGATATAGAAAAATGCTTTTGATTAGCTTGATTCTGTATTCATGGAACAAAAGCAAAAAAAAGAAAACATTTCATGTTTTTCTACCTTTCACCAACTTTTATCTTTTTAAAACTCTTGAGTTACCAGTCAGAGGAGAGCTGAGTGAAGTGTGTGTTGAAGACAAAGCGTCCACATGGGATCTACTCAGGACAGAGGACAGTAACGGAGCAGATAAATCAGTGGACATCTGCACTCCAACCTTTAGGAGTTATTTTTCTGCCCTCTAAAAAGGGCTGTTTCAGTTATTAACCTCGCCAAGCCAGTGGAGTAGAAGCTCTTTGCTCTTTTGAGCTGCTCTCATGCATGTGACGACCAGAAGTGTCTTAATAACTAACTCAGTTACTTCCTCCTAACATTTAGCCAACAAACTCAGCCTGACCCAGAGTGGAACACCCATGTCTTACGTAACTTAGGAAGAACTGCTCTGTGTGTGTGTGTGCGCGTGTGTGTGTGTGTGTGTGTGTGTGTGTGTGTGTTCTGACCCTGATCAGGGCGAGTGCGCTGTGTGCTCTCCTCCACAGGCAGTGACCCAGGTTATGATACAGTCTTTTCACTTATCCTCATGTGCTCTCTTCAACGCTCAGATGCAGGATGTAAGTGCCCCACCCCGTTTTCTCCTCGTCTCTGGCCCATGCTTAGATGTGTGTGAAGTCAAGTGACAGGATGGTTGATGATGGCTCACACACATAAGCATGGGCGCTTTTGTTGTTACCGAGTCGTTATCGCTGTTGTTGTGCAGTGGATCTGTTTTTTATCCCCTCTCCGCTCCTGCTCAGTACTTTTCCTCCACCAGTCTACAAATGGTCTATGTGTTTTACCTGGGATCATTTGCATTACACTGGATCAGCTGCACTTGTTTATCACTCCTATATGAATCCGTGTTCGTACCGAATATCTCCGTCCTCCAGGGTGCCTGAAAATCACTAAGTCAGTTCTGTTGGAATGTCTTTATTAAGAATTATGTTGAAGAGGCAAGAGCCTTCGAGTTCAAAATCAGCACATTAATGTAAATTATGCTATTTATTATTCACATAAAGATGCTCAAATGCCTTCGTGACATTTAGCTGAACTGTGTCATTATAATGTAGTTCTGTTTATTCATGCATGAGTAAAACCTATAATTTGCTACTGGATATAAAACGTTAAACTATAAAAATAATTAATAGTTGCAAATAATTCTGGATTCTCATAAAAAGTTTTAACATTTGTCCATAGTGTAGCTTCTAGTCAGAGTTTGTCCCTGACATGATTACTGTTTTTTTCTCCACATATTTGTGAATCATTTAGAATTAAGAGACAGAAGGATTAAAGATTTTCTTTTTCATACGTCTATCATTTTTACAGCCCTAGAAATGAGGCACTTGTACATTCACATGAACTCTAAGTTTAATTGTGGAGCTAAACGTGGTCTTGACATCAGAGCTACTGCTACATTTCGTTTCTTTTCATTGTGGATCATCACCATCCATGATCTGAGTGTCTCTTCTTTTGAGTCCAGTGGATGGTGTGAAGCTCCGGTGCTGTGTTGAACTGAGCTTGAAGTGTTTTTATTTATTTTGACTTAATCTGGATTTATTCCAGGCACATTTTACTGTTTTCTGGACGCTTTGATACTGACGTACCTGACTGGTGGTCCTCTCTGTCTGGTTCCACAGGAGCAGGAGTTCCTACAGAAGCAGCAGCAGGAGCTGGATGGAGCTCTGAAGAAAATCATCCAACAACATAAGTTGGAGATAGCCACCATCGAGAGGGACTGCCTCAATCACAAGCAGCAGCTGCTGAGAGGTTAGAGAAGATCAGAGAAGAGCTGGGTCTGAGTTATTATCAGTCAGTAGAGGAAGTCGCTGCTGTTTTAATTACAGATGTGTCACAGCCTGCGTCTGTTTTTATCCATGCATACATCACCAGCTAACACACACCTGGTTAGCCAACCAGTGACTGTGTGCTTCCATGTATCCTGCAGCTCGAGAGGCAGCAATGTGGGAGTTGGAGGAGCGCCATCTGCAGGAGAAGCACCAGCTGCTCAAACAGCAGCTGAAGGACCAGTACTTCATGCAGAGGCATCAGCTTCTGAAGCGGCATGAAAAGGTAGAGCATAAGCGCACACACACACACGGACGCACGCGCACACACACGGGTCTAACTACATAGTTGTTCTTCCTGGTGTGCGTTTTTAGGAAATGGAGCAGATGCAGCGCTACAACCAGCGTTTGATAGAGGAGCTGAAGAACAAACAAAACCAAGAGAGGGTTCGTCTTCCCAAGATCCAACGCAGTGATGCAAAGACTCGCATGGCCATGTTTAAGAAGAGCCTCCGCATCACCGTCACAGCAGTTATGACCCCGGAGCAGGAGAGGGAGCGGGTCAAACAGGTGGCTGTTGTTCTAGGTTTGCTGCTGTAACACTGAGAAGTGATTTTTCGTGTTTGTAAACCACAGAACATCCTCCTGGCTCAGGGCCACGTCTAGGATTTGGTCTGCACATTTTAAAAGTCACACTGCTTATTTTGACCTGTGGAAGATTAAATTATGTTTACTGTTTTACAAGATTTAAGGGTTTTATTGATCCAAATGTTGTTTTAGGTTTGTTTATTTGAGAGCAGTTGTGTGTTGGAGAACAACATAATCCCTACATGCTGTGGTGTTTTCAGGGGGTGGAGTGTTTTTACAGCTGTTTGTGTTTCCAGTTTGCATCACAAGAGGACAAGAGACAGAAGAACGAGCGACTTCATCAACAACAGAAACACGAGAACCAGATGAGAGATCTGCAGCTGCAGTGTGACTCCAACATCAGAGAGCTGCAGCAGCTGCAGGTTTGGAAACAACACACACACACACACACACACACACACACACGCACGCACGCACGCACGCACACACACACACACACACACACACACACCTGATGCCTAATAAACATTCATGGGAAATAGGTTATTACTGTATTCTCTTTCTCTTATTTCAGAATGAGAAGTGCCACCTTCTAATCGAGCATGAGACTCAGAAGCTGAAGGAGCTGGATGAAGAGCACAGCCAGGAGATAAAGGACTGGAGGGAAAAGCTGAGACCTAGGAAGAAGGTGTGTTTAATGTCCATGTGATTTTTAATGAAGAACTTATTTTAGTTCTTGCATTTGGCCTTCGGTGTCTGACTCTGCTGTTTGGTTGTGCTGCAGGCGTTGGAGGAGGAGTTCACCAGAAAGCTGCAGGAGCAGGAAGTCTTCTTCAAAATGAGCGGTGAATCCGAATGCCTTAACCCCACCACCCAGAGTCGAGTGTCCAAATTTTACCCCATCCCAAACCTGCAGAACTCCGGTTTATAGCCTTCGTGTAAATGTTCAAGTAAACAAACTGCTGTCCCACTCATCTGTGCTCACTGCATCCTCCTTAAGGTCACCGGTTAAGATAAGAATGTCAGTTCTGCTACCATTAGTGAGCATGATGTGCCTACACACCGTCCATCATGAGGTTTTCTCAGCTTTCTGGGAAATACCTAATGTATTGTGCACTTTTTGAGCATGTTCAGATTTTTATAATGAGGGGAAATCTGAAACTGGAAGCTGAATTCAGTCACGCCTGTGAATTATCTCCAGTGCCTCGTGCATTTGTTTTCCAGCATTTAGGTCCTTTCTTGTTTAACTACTCGCTGTTGAAAAACTGAATGTTTTGCACTCCAATAACTGGTTATGATTCCTGTTCACAAAATGCTAAGATTATTTTTTTATCATTTCACATTAAAACAGACTGTGAGAGTTAGTTTGGCTGCATGTAAAGTTGATCTTGTGAAGGAAGATGAACAGAAAAAGCTGTAGATCTGACGTCTGATCTTCTGTGCGCTGTGTTTAATGTTATGAAAGTCCAAAAAAAGAAGCATCATAAGATGTCTAATAGAATGTACCGAGTTCTGTGCTGCATACATATGAAGATCAATTATTAACTGTTACCAAAAACTGTTATGAGATTAAATATCTAATAATTATTTAACAAATACAATCTTTTCAGTCCCCTTTTTAAATCATCCCTATTGTTTAGATGAATCCATGCTGAGTGGTTACAAACGTTTTATAAAAATTATAAGTTTGAGTTCCTGGACGTTAAGGTGCTGCTTTAACTAAGAAGTACGCAGCTGTAAGTTTTCATCATTTCATCTTTAGACTGGGCAGATTTTTAGTACTTCTTTTACATCCTCGTCTTGATATTTGAATGTTTATTGCTGAAACAACAATGCTGTAATTGATGCTGAGCTGAAGTCCAGTGCTGTTGATCTCTGAACTTCAGCGTTTAACGAGGAAAAGCCCTCAGCTGTATGTCTGCTTATTTTGTCTCCACATATCATCAGAGCATGTTTTAATTTTTATCCACTAACATCAACTTCATTTTTCTTATGGATGCTGGATTTTCATTTGAACTGCCAGGCACCATTTAGTCCATGTGTTTCATTTGTTGTATCGTTTTGATTTGTCACCCTGCCGTTATGCATATTATGCATTTTAGATGTCAGGTCAAATGCATTTAATGAATCTTTATACATTTTCTTGTAAATAAAATATTCACTGTTTATTTGACTTTATTTATTTTTCAAGATCAAATTAGTCATAAAAATATCAAGACTCACAAGTCTAGAAAATAGATTTATTGTTTAGCAAATATAGTGATCAGAACTTAAATCATGTTTATAATTTATTCATTTCAAAACTCAAAAGGCAGTACAGAAATATTTATCAAATTCAGTGCTCTTACACAAAAATATACAATTGAATCAGGCTCGTCCTACTGATCATCTGAGTCACCATCTCAAATACATCATTAATATCTTGCTTTTAATCATAAACCTTTCAAGTAAATCTCAATAACCTTCTTAAAATGACTCTCCCTCTGACAGACTGAGTCGAGTTCAAATAAGGACACTTTATGGGTTTAATGTGGAAATTAGAATTTGATATGGGGCAAAAGCATGATGGATACAAAATAAAATGTTATATAGTCCTCAATACAGCCTAATCCTCACATCTCAGATATATATATATATAAACACCAGCTTAAAAAGATGTCATTAAAATGAAAAGCAAGTGCTACTTATTGCTTGATGATACATAATCTCTTGAACAAAGCTGCCCCTGGTAGAGTCAACACAAGTGTCTAAGCAAAGTAAACATTTTACACCCCGCATGTAAAAACAACAGTTTAACTCTCACAAACAGACTAACCTCAGAAAATAACATTTTTCAAAGAGACAAATGCATTTTTATTGTTTCAAATCAACTTTTTGGATGAAGGAAGGTCAGAAGTATGGAGTGTGGTTAACCACTTTGGTACAGTTTAACATCTAAAAGAAAAAGGAAGTAAAGCTGAAGAAGAATTTGGCACCATCCCATAATAAACACTTCAGCCACCACTGGTGTGACGTCGAAGCTCCTTGCGGCGACCCACTTTGTTACCTGCAGAAGAAAACAAGGTGCAACAATGTTAACGCTACAATGGCAAATCTGCCAATTAATCTATCTTAAAACATTCTTTTTCAACATTTCTTAACAATCTAACTTAGTACAACAAGAAACATATTGTGGGGATGAAGTGGTTATCTTGTCTTTGTCTTCAAGGGGCTAGATCTGGCTTTTTTAAACCTTTGAGAGCAAAGGTGGGCCCAATATATGATAAATCAGCATGCAAAGCAGGTGCTCCATCATCTATTACAAACGTTAGTCGCCTAAAGCCTAATTTATAATTCTCTGTCAGCTCTGCAAGAGAGACGCACACACATTGACGGATATATTTTTCTTTCGGACTTCTCCACCTGGGGAGTGTTACAAAGCAATCCCCTGCCAGGACAACAGAGGGCATAACGCTAATCTGGGGTATCCTGCCACAATTAGTCACATGTCTGGTCCACAATATTGTATTTACTATTAAGTTTACATTGTTTTAATGTATTTCAGAGACTTTTTAACACAGACAAATTTGTTCCTAATTCTCCTCCACCTCTTCATGCGTTTGGTACCTCTAAACCCACGTTTCTCGTTATTTCCATCCAAAGATAAAATGTTTGCTGCATATCTTTGTACTCCTTCAGTCACGGGTGGATGAACGTTTATATTTTCAGACTTTTTCATCCGAGGCATTCTTCAATCTTTTTGTGTCTCCCACTAAATATCTTTTTTGAGGGGCCAATGGCATTGCTGTTGAATTTAAAGGAAGCGGCGTCCTGATCAATCACAAGCTTGCGATCTCGGTCACTTTTGATGGATAGTTGAAAAGGTGGGCATGTCTCCGTCGGCCTCTGCGAGCCCGTCGGAGAACGCAGACACACTATGGCATTGCATGTCTACATACCGACCCAGACGGAGAAGTTTAAATAAGGCTTAAGACACATTTTCTGTGCTGGCCGTTCCGTGCATTTTTGTAGACAACGCATGTTTTGTTGGTGGTGTTTTATCACCCAGTGCAGAAGTAATTTGTCAGAATATTCCATCTGGTACTGGTGGAGGTTTAAAGCAGTCATCTATGAAATGACGGTCAAACATAAACAATCTTAACTGCAGCATAAAATCAACCGCTCAGTACTCGCAACTCTGAGAAAGTGGGCATAAGTGGCCTACTTCCAGGGGAGTCGGGTTTCAGATCTGAAACTAGTTTCATGGGGAAGAGAGGTCTGATGACACACTTAGTTTCCATCTTTGTGTCTGCAGGTCCTACCTCAGAATATGAAAACTTGCAGCTGAGAAAGAAAAGTGCATGAATGCAGCCAAAAGTGGGTTTGGGGGTATTTTTCATGAGAAAATAACAATATTACATGGTAAAAAGCTCCAAAAGGTGGATTTTGTCCAAAACCAACGATTGTACCATCCAGTTGTCAGCCTCATCAAAGCACCACACTTATGCGTTTACCTGGGTATTTCAATCATTATGCAATTACGTATTTAGCAACAGAACACCACGTGTGAGATTTTCTCCACTTAATACCAGAGAAACAGCCGGCTATGACCACTTCAACTTCAGGACAAACTACCAGAGTCCCAAAAAGAACAACACCATTTGAAGTCATGGACAACAAAAGACGTTTGGACCTAGAAAACGACAACTGGTGTTTTGTTCTCTCTCGCTTACTCTGGAAATGCAGGTTCTGGTGTCAGGCCAACGGGAGGGGTGAGAGTTCTGGGACCACATTTGTGTTAAAAAGCTAGCTTGTTTTGCACATTTGCTATTGAAGCTTTAAATAAGGAATATTTTGATGTGAGCTGATGGTGTCATGTGACGGAGTTCACCTGTTTCCCTCTTCTGCACCCTGTGGGGAATCTGGACAGTGTAAGCTCCTGGTATTCCAGGTAAACCTGGCGGTCCGGCATCACCTGTAATCAAGCGAAGAGATCAGTGATGGTAGTTAAAATGAAAACTGTTTCAGTTCTGTTCTATGTACCTTTGTCTCCTTTGGGCCCTGGGTACCCCCTGTCTCCCCTAGGTCCAGGGCTGCCTGGAGGGCCAGGGATGGTGCCATAAGCTGTGCAGGAACAAAAACATGCAAGAATTTAGCAAATAAATCTCGAGCTAAGCTTACTGGAATTGAAAAAAAAAAGTATCCTCACTTCTAAAGAAGTCCATGAGGTCAGCTGTGACATTGCCATAAGTGCCAATGACACGACTGTAACCGACTGGGCCAGGAGGACCTGGTGGACCAGGAGGGCCTTGAATTGCTCGCACGCTAGCCCTCCAAGGACCCTCAGCAATATACTGCTGCAGGAGGCCTTGATCTGCAGGACAAATGGTATGAACTGTGACCTAACTGTGATCAGTTTTAGCCAGGGGGGAAAGAAGCCCCTTCTCCCAGCTTTACAGGGAGTGCAGAATTATTAGGCAAATGAGTATTTTGTCCACATCATCCTCTTCATGCATGTTGTCTTACTCCAAGCTGTATAGGCTCGAAAGCCTACTACCAATTAAGCATATTAGGTGATGTGCATCTCTGTAATGAGAAGGGGTGTGGTCTAATGACATCAACACCCTATATCAGGTGTGCATAATTGTTAGGCAACTTCCTTTCCTTTGGCAAAATGGGTCAAAAGAAGGACTTGACAGGCTCAGAAAAGTCAAAAATAGTGAGATATCTTGCAGAGGGATGCAGCAGTCTTAAAATTGCACCGCTTCTGAAGTGTGATCATCGAACAATCAAGCGTTTCATTCAAAATAGTCAACAGGGTCGCAAGAAGCGTGTGGAAAAACCGAGGCACAAAATAACTGCCCATGAACTGAGAAAAGTCAAGCGTGCAGCTGCCAAGATGCCACTTGCCACCAGTTTGGCCATATTTCAGAGCTGCAACATCACTGGAGTGCCCAAAAGCACAAGGTGTGCAATACTCAGAGACACGGCCAAGGTAAGAAAGGCTGAAAGACGACCACCACTGAACAAGACACACAAGCTGAAACGTCAAGACTGGGCCAAGAAATATCTCAAGACTGATTTTTCTAAGGTTTTATGGACTGATGAAATGAGAGTGAGTCTTGACGGGCCAGAAGGATGGGCCCGTGGCTGGATTGGTAAAGGGCAGAGAGCTCTAGTCCGACTCAGACGCCAGCAAGGTGGAGGTGGAGTACTGGTTTCGGCTGGTGTCATCAAAGAAGAGCTTGTGGGGCCTTTTCGGGTTGAGGATGGAGTCCAGCTCAACTCCCAGTCCTACTGCCAGTTTCTGGAAGACACCTTCTTCAAGCAGTGGTACAGGAAGAAGTCTGCATCCTTCAAGAAAAACATGATTTTCATGCAGGACAATGCTCCGTCACACGCGTCCAAGTACTCCACAGCGTGGCTGGCAAGAAAGGGTCTAAAAGAAGAAAAACTAATGACATGGCCTCCTTGTTCACCTGATCTGAACCCCATTGAGAACCTGTGGTCCATCATCACATGCGAGATTTACAAGGAGGGAAAACAGTACACCTCTCTGAACAGTGTCTGGGAGGCTGTGGTTGCTGCTGCACGCAATGTTGATAGTGAACAGATCAAAACACTGACAGAATCCATGGATGGCAGGCTTTTGAGTGTCCTTGCAACTAAAGGTGGCTATACTGGTCGCTGATTTGTTTTTGTATTGTTTTTGAATGTCAGAAATGTATATTTGGGAATGTGGAGATGTTATATTGGTTTCACTGGTAAAAATAAATAAATGAAATGGGTATATATTTGTTTTTTGTTAAGTTGCCAAATAATTATGCACAGTAATAGTCACCTGCACACACAGATATCCCCCTAAAATAGCTAAAACTAAAAACAAACAAAACTACTTCCAAAAATATTCAGCTTTGATATCAATGAGTTGTTTGGGTTCATTGAGAACATGGTTGTCGTTCAATAATAAAATTATTCCTCAAAAATACAACTTGCCTAATAATTCTGCACTCCTTGTAATCAAAACATTAAATCAGATCTAATAATGTCCTTCCCCACAGAGTTGATCCCATGTAAAAAAAAAAAAAAAACATTAATCAAACTCTTGATGAATCTTGACTCACTCTTGATGTAGTCTGTAACTTTCGTGGCAACGCTGGAATAGTCCAGAGTCTCAGCGAGCTTGCTTACATCGATGTCTGTACGATGATGGCCGTAGCGAGAGTCGCTCTGTGAGTAGCTCTGGCTCTGCGTGTAGCTCTGGGCATAACCGGGCTCTCCACGTTCTCCCTTATGACCTCTAGGACCTGGGGGTCCTGGAGGGCCAACAATAGCCCGTCGAACATTATCACCTGAAGGATACAGTTAACTTCTTAGGTTTGGTCAAAAAAATGAAGTGCATGGACCTGTTTTATTTTAGTTGAGGTTTTTTGGACATTATTTCATTTGTCATAGAAATACCCTCCTATTTAGCTCTGAAGTTACTTTGCAAACAGAAAGTTCATTAATGCTTCAATGGTGCCCAGCATCTAACTGCAAAATAAGCCCAAATCATTAGCCTTCCACCACTGTGCCTGACTGCTGTTAGAAAGCTCATAAACAGTTTTTATGCCTAAATTCTGCATCGTGGTCAAACATCTTCACATTGGTTGTGTTCGTCCAAAGAACATTTTTTAGGACTTTATTTGTCTCTGTGTTAGAAGCTTACTGGTCAAATACTCTTGAATTTCGGTGCGAATGCTCTCCCGTGGGAAGTTTCCACTGTAGGAAACGGATCCAGTCAGAGTACTCGGGGGACCCTGTGGACCTGGAGGACCAGGAGGGCCAGGAAGGCCTGGATTACCTCTGAATCCTGAACCTGAAATATTCCAGAACAAATAAATGATGAAGAAGAATTTCATCATTGACTTTAGCCTTTGTTTTTGCTGACGTTATCTCCAGATATGAAAATCAAACTTTTCCAATCCTAATCTGACCTTAAAAAAAACGACTGCAAAGTAAATCTTTTGATCTAAATAAATACGTTCCTCTTAGTTCCTTCTAAACTCACTCTGCAAGTACCGCTGAATTTCCTCCAAGCTGTAGCCACGACCTCCTGACCCAAACACAGTGGAAGTTGAGACTCCTGGGGGCCCTTGAGGACCAGGCAGACCTGGAACACCTGGAGGACCAGGAGGGCCTTGTTGTACAGCAGAAGTGATCCATGATCGGAAATCTGAATCTAAGAAGATAAAGATATAACAAAGACAACAGAGCTAGCTTATGTTAACCGTTTCTTGGTAACTTTTCAATTCAAGAGGAGCTTACTTCTGATCAGTGCTGAATAGTCAATCGTAGCAGTTGTGAAGCCAGATCCTCCAGCACCTGGAGTTCCGGGAGGCCCTGGAAGACCCCGTGGCCCTGGTGGACCTCTAGCAATCCCTTTCTCTGATAAGAACAATGAGTTGATGGATTGACACAACTTATGATGTTCATTTTAAAAACTGTACTTACCATTCATGATGTTAAAGATATACGTGGCAACATGTTCTATTGTGTGTTCTGCAGTCTTTGAAAGACCCCCTGGTGGTCCTGGGGGTCCTTGCGGCCCTGGTGGTCCAGACAAATATCGTCTCACATCGTCTCCTAGACGTATCACGGCAGAGAAACACAGTTTAGGACGGTTCTTCTTCAAAGTGAAACCAATGAAGAGCTTCCAGATGTGGTGGATCCACATGAATCTCATGCTGTCCTGCCCCATTAGGAAATGTGCTGTACTCACGCTGAAGCATGGTGATCAGAGCGTTGACTGTGAGAGATCCAGAGACAGGTCCAGGTGGACCAGGTGGTCCTGGAGGACCCTGAACACCAAAACGGAAGCCTGAATCTGAACCTGTGTTAACAAAATACAGATGTAAGCTGCAACATTCACACTGTAATTATCACCCGTGTATTAATACAAGTTCTTACGTTGCAGGTACGCAATGACACGAGCAGAAATGTCCTCCAGAGACCCTGAGAAGGTTCCAGGGTGTCCTGGAGGTCCAGGTGGACCTGGAGGACCTTGCATACCACTCAGTCTGTATCTACCTGTATGGAACATATCCAAACACATCAATAAACTGTTCTCTTAACCTGTAACCTCTCTTTAGAAAGACACTTACTCAGATAGTCTGTTATGTACTGCCGCATCTCGCTAGAAGAAGCAAAAGAGCCTGGCTGGCCTGGAGGACCAGGAGGACCTGGTGGACCAGGTGGACCTGAGGTGACTGAGACTGAACCTGGAACAAGATCATGAACCATTTGAGCAAGAAAAAAATAGCATTTGTCAAATCACATAGCAAAAAAGAACATTTAGTATTCATACCTCTTGACGTGCCTGGAATTCCAGGAGCTCCAGTGTCTCCTTTGATTTAAAAAGAAATTTCTGATTGCCAGTTTTAAGTATATCTGTGCATGGAAGGCTTTGATTGTGACATTTATAAATTATTCATAACCCCATTAAGAAATCTGGGTTTAAATATAAACCACATATTAAAGAATAATACCTGTGTATCCACGTGGTCCAGGAGCACCTAAAATAATAACAGACATGTCAATATGAAGAGTTAACAAATACAGGGCTGTCAACTTTTGCAAAATCTTCAGTGATATTTTTTTAAGGTGTGGCAATAACCACACACACATTCTAGGAGAGAAAGTTCAGTTTTAGTCACTTTTGCGTAAGATGTGAATGCGATGTAGCTAGCTGCTGATAGCTGTTAGCGGTGTTAGAGCTTGGTCCGCATTGCTGGCAGTAAGTCTGGCTCGTTCCCGGTGAGAGTTGGACTCCGCCAAGGCTGCCCTTTGTCACCCGACAGAGGTGGAAAGAATACTAAAACTTCCTACTTAAGTACGAGTACCAGTACTTTGATAATTTTTTATTCAAGTACAAGTAAAAGTACTTGCCTAAATTTTTACTCAAGTAAAAGTAAAAAGTGTCGTAAATTAAATGTACTCAAAGTAAAAATTACTTAGTTACATTTTTATCAGCGTAAAGATGGCTACATCAGTGCAAAACCACAACACCAGTTCACAAAATGTTCGTGTGTGCACGCACACACGCACACACACACAGTTTGATGGAAGGATTTCTATTCAACAGTGAGAACAGGACGTGCACATTGATTGGACGAGGTTTTTCTTGGATGGTACATTTCAATTGTGATTAAAATTATTGATAATTATGAAAAAAAGTTAATTTTTAGATGCCATCATTATGTGAGACATCTCAATGTTTTCATGACAAACTCTAACATGAGACTGTGCTCTAACCTGTAGCATAACATAACAAGCTAAATGAAATTCAAACATTTCAAATGGACCGTATTACAGATGCTAACCAAGGCCCTGCCCTACTTTACCTCTACATTACAGTTCCTTTATCCATGTCCATCCTAGAGCTCCTCTCTGACCTTCATTCTTATTTAGAGCAGCTGATTTTTAAAGTTAGCAGAGTTCATCCTTGGTAGTGGGTTCACTCACTCATTTAACCCTTCACCACTGAAATCAGTTTGTTCATTCCAATCCTCCTAAATAATCCTCCAATCATCCAACTGGAATCCTCAAGGGTCCCGTAACGTCCATCCTGTCAGAACAGGCCTTGGGAGCCCAGGTGTTACTAGAACTAATGGTGTCTCCTCACCAGTGTGAACCTTCAAACTGTGAAGGTTGGTCTCCAAACATGAACTTTAAATTCATGCATTTATCTCCTCTTGTAAAACTTTAACATGTTTTAAAAGGCTTGTATCATGATAAGTTTCACCTCCCAGACCAAAGATCGGTACAATATAAGATAAAATATTATCAAAAACACTGCAGAGATGTCATTATTTATGAAATATAAGTTATTTTTCTGAGCCATTACTTCAGCCAAGATAAAGGATGCATGGGTTTGATGAAACCATGCTGTCTCATGCAGTTCTATATGTGTAACACACACACACACACACACACACACACGTCATGACTAATTTAACTGCATTGAACTGCTTTTGTAATAATTTAATCTCTTATTCTGGAGTAAAATAAAGAAACAAGCTAAATCATCACATATCTGTGGCATCAAGAAGCATTTTCTGAGTTCAAACACAGGGATGGAGCTCCATTTTTACACCTGAATAGTATCAGGATGTTTTAACTCACAGAGGCCTGCAGGTCTTCTGTTTTATGAGCAAAGCTCTGAGAATCCGCTTGTTATGAGCGCTAAACGTTATTTTGCTGCTGCCGAGCGGAGCGGTAAGGAAACACATTTCAAACACGGAACAGAGTCCGAACCGAGCAGAATTCTGATGACTTAACACCGGTGCATGAAGGTTGCAACCCGAAGGAGAGGATGGAGAGAGGAGGTGAACAGCGAGTGGATCACAGGGACTGAACTGATGTTTTTGAGCAAAATTTGTACTCCCACACCCCCCACGGTTTAGACGCGGTGCTCATGCAGGTGTCTCTTTCTTTCATCCCCCCCCCCCCCCCCCCCCCCCGTGTCCTCTCTGTCTGTGAAGCAAACAGAATTGATGTCTGGTTGCTGGTGACAAGCCTTACAGATTTACTCTCATGGTGGGGCATCAAAGCGTCTGCTTTTAATGTCATGCCTGATATTTAAAACTTTATTGTTATTGTTTTTGAATGCTTTTTAATTCCGACCAGACACGGAGACAGAGATGAAAGAGAAAGGAAGAGACAAAAAGTGGGGTGGGGGGGAGGGGTTCCACAAAAATAAAAAATAATGAACAAGAGTCTGCTTCTAGACCTGCAGAAAGAGAGAAGAAAAAACAAAAACAAAAAACAAACAAAAAAAATGGGACACAACAACAATACAACAAGATCAAGCTATCACTGTGTCAACTTGATGAAGAAATATATAATCAACATTGTTTAACTGAACAATCACACGATAATAAATCACAGTGCTTTAAGTGCCCTCCAGCCGATATGTGATGGAACCGATCAAAGGAGCCCAGAGAGATTGATTTGAAGTAGAAGCAGAGGCTATATCAAGTGTAATATGATCTAAAAAAAGATTTCTATACTGGTTGATGCAGAGTATCTCTATTTTTCCAATTCAAGAGGATAGTTTTCTTAGCGATGCATATGGCAGTCAGAACCACGTGAGCCTAAGATGTTTCAATCGGGACATCGTCCAGGTCAGTAAACAGAGAGAGGAGGTGGTTGGGATATGACATTTCAGACACTTTGACAGGTCTTCACATACTCTTCCCCAAAATTCCCGGACAGGACCACAGTGCGTGAATGTAATTGTCAGGAATGTTGTATGTGCAGTGTGTACAGGTGTCTCTTTCTGTTCCGACACTGCTACACGCAATGTTTTTAATTTATTAAGCCCATAATTTATTTTTACTCAGTAACAGATATTATTTAAAATGTAGCGAATTACAATTCTTTTTAAAAACTTACTCAAGTAAAAGTAAAAGTACAGCTTTTAAAAACAACTTAAAAAGTATGAATATACAAAAAAAGCTACTCAATTATAGTAACGTGTGTAAATGTAATTCGTTACTTTGCACCTCTGGTCACGGATTCTGTTCATAACTTTTATGGACAGGATTTCTAGGTACAGCCAAGGTGTTGAATGGATCCACTTTGGTGGCGGATCAGGTCTCTGCTTTTTGCAGATTATGTGGTCCTGTTGGCTTGATCAGACTGTGATCTTTTTCCAGAATGATTTGCAGCTGAGTGTGAAGCAGCTGGGATGAGAATCAGCTCCTCTAAATCCGAGACCATGGTCTTGAGTCGGGAAATGGTAGAATTTCTTCTCTAGGTCAGAGAAGTCCTGCTTTAAGGGACCCAAAACGCCCACTAGTAAACTAGTGAGGGTGTTGCAGACCTTACTAGGTAACTAGTGGCATGCATGTTTTGCTCACTAGCTAACTAGTTACACCTAAAAACACATATAAAGATTTCTTAGCCTCGAAAGCCATTTACTTAGGAAATGAGTTCTTGTGTTTTCATCAAGTTTCCCTAAATCACTGATAGAAAAAGTATTTTGCCATCATTGAAATAAAATTACTGATTACAAGTACTTAACTTAAAAGTAAAACAGTAAAGATCTGTCATGTTCCTGGGCAGAGGTGAGTCACACCATCTCCTCTCACCAGACTCTAAGCTAATTCTCCACAGGTGAGGAGCAGGGGGAGCGGCAGATGCAGGAGATTTTCCAATCAGGGACGCGGGTTCAAAAGAAGGATGGAGACACATCACTTTGCCGGATGATTGCACCAGTTTAGGTAGCACCAGCCTTTGACCTTGATCTAGTTTGTTCGTGTTTTGACTCGTGTTTGACCATTGGATTTATGACCTCGGATTGTGTTTTTGGATTACGATTTGGATTATCCCTCACGCCTAGTTTTTGTTCCACTCAGGATCCTCTCCTCATCTACTCACCTTCGCTGTCTTCGTTCCCTGGATAACACACATCACGTCCCATCCTCCTCCGCTGCTCCTATTTGGCTTCCCTCTGCTACCTCGTCTCTCCTGGACCTCTCACCCTCTGCCCAGCATCCTTCCTGGCTTCCTCATCTCCTCATCCACCTGAGCACTTCAGAGACTCGAGCCGTATTGCTCATCCCACAGGACTTCCCTGTGCGGTTTCAGTCCCCGTTTTTATAATAAAGACATTTTACTTTACTGCTTTGGACTACGTGTGATGATTCTGCATGTCTTGGGTTAGGCACTTACCTCGAGTCATGACAGAATCATCCAGCCACACATCTAACCCAGTGGAATCAGCACTCGCGGATCTGGCTACCCGGATGTCCCAACAAGAGCAGACACTTCCCGTCCTCATGGAGCAGCTGAATATCATCAACCAACGTTATCAACGTTTGGAGACCGTCCTGCAGCAGCTTCAGGAGCAGCTCTCCTCTACAGCCTCGAGTTCCGTTCCCGCTCCAGCGACAGCTGCCGCTCCGGCGTTCGGAACAGAACCACACGCACACGCCTCGGGAGGTGTGGTTTCACCTGGACCGGAGGCGCTCTGCTCTCCGGAAATCACGCACTTCCGTTGGGCTCTTCCTCAGCAATGTCCGACTTTCTCCGGTGAATTCGAGGATTGCTTTGGGTTTCTGCTACAGTGCCACCTAGCGTTCAAAGACTCCCCGAGGTCTTTTCCTACTGACTCAATGAAGATCTCGTTTATTGTTGGACTTCTTAGAGGCAAGGCACTTCGGTGGGCGGAGGCTAAGAGTAGAAATCCCAATTTCCTGTCTGGTTCTTACCCAGACTTTCTGGAGGATTTTAAACTGACTTTTTGCAGTTCCGAGACCACCACTGACATCAGAAAAAGACTGTTGCACCTCTCGCAGGGAAGAAGGTCAGTGGCTGACATGTCTCTGGAGTTTAGGACCTTGGCTGCAATGACATCATGGGGGGACGATGCCCTTAAAGCGGCATTCATCGAATCTCTGAACGATCGGGTAAAGAACCAGCTGGCTCTGTGCCCCGAGCCATCAACCCTGGACGGACTGATCTCATTATGCATCTCTATCGACAAGAGACATAGGGAGCTTCAGAAGAC